ATGATCTTAACTCTTTTGAGTATACTATATTAACTTAAATAACCGTACATCTCTCTTTTTATGGTCTGTCCACACAACTGAGTTTTCAATAGGCCCTTTCAGACAGCCGCAATATTGCGGTATAGCATGCTAGAACAATAACTGGTCTATACACTTTCACACAGCGCCTTTGTTACCGCAATACTGCGGTAACCTAACGCTTTTCTGTCTGAAAGGGTCCTATAGAATATTGGCGGTATAAATACCATTGCGCAATTGTTTTCAACTTTAACCTTGTTTGTTTATGCATAAACGCACACGCCGGCTTGATTACAGAGCAAGCCAGTAACCGTTACCGCAATATTGCGGTAATATTACTAAGGTGCAAGGTGGCCTAAGTAAGCCGGCAAATTGGCGTAACGACCCTTTCAGACAGAAACCCATGCCGGCGTGCTTACCACAATATTGCGGTATTGCAGATCTGTCTGAAAGGGGCCTATGACAAATACATGCGATATGTCCATATATAGGTATGGCATATGACATAATCATATATGACATAATCATATATGACATAATCGTACAGTATATGAACAAATTGCAGACCTTATATTCTGTTGCTGTAGAGCTTAGGTTTAGTAACCTATTTCTAGACCACTGGCTTAGCCAACGAACCGTCCAGCCATCTTTTGGACGGCCTACAATTATTTAGGACGGCCACTTTTACCGAGACGGCTTGGACGGCTTGGCCTAATCAGCTCGGCCTAGCCTAATAATGGGCCTGGTCTACCGTTAGCAAATTCTTTATATTCTTCAAATCTATCAAATTAAACTAAAGCTAAATCAAATTTACTTTTGATAAAAACAACATTTATTGATTGAATATACATTGCTTTTGTACCAATATTCGGTGGAAATTCCCAAAGATGGGCATGGCCCGCCCCTCGACTGAGTGCCACGCCCACTGGCTTCCATTTTGGACGGCCTATTTCTTTTTTCTGGCTAAACCCCTGTTCTAGGCATTTATAAAAAAACTGCAAGAATGTTCTTACTGAATTATGCCCACAAAGATTGACTCATTACCTTGCATTACCTTAGTTTGGTTTGCGCTCATTTCCTAATTAAGGTTAAATGTAGGTTATAACATCATCATCACTTAATTGGTAGAAATTCATTTGTGTACTTTACACCCACTCTGGTTTTCAACCCTTTCCTATCAGTGGTCAAATTTCTCCTCTTTTTTTCTTAGTTAGCTAAGTTCATATTTAATTGCTTCAAATCCTTATTTATGGTTTGGAAACATTTGGTCTCTGGTCTGCCAACATTACTTTTAATACAGGTTTTGTTCACTTACACTAATGTAGCTTGATGTAGGTTATAACATCATCCTCATTTATCTCGCTAAAACATCCTTTGTATACTTAGCACTACACTCTCAATTGTTTCCACCCTTTCATAACAGAGGCTAAACTTCTCACTTTTTTTATTTAAGATAATTTCATATTGAATTGTATTTATGAATTTCAATCATGCTGCCTTTAGTCTGCCAAAATTTTACATTAGTTTTGTCCACATTCTAATATAAGTTAAACATGTTATAACATCATCATCATTTACTCTACAAAACATAATTTGTAAACTTGTATTTGAGTATGTAGGCTGCATTAGCCTAGTCTTTACGTTAACATTTGTGTTTGACAGCCATGTTTATTTAGAGCATTGTCTGTGAGCACTGTGAGTCGTTCATAAGGGAATTTCCACATTCAAAGTATTTTCCTAGTGCATATTATTATATGTAGCATATATAACTTTTATTTATCAACTGCTTTCTAAAGTGAATTTAGCTTTCTAGGTATTCCAGGTTTGTTTTTATTGAATATACTTTAATAATGACTTGATTGATTGACTGAAGTAAGGATAAAGGCAGCTAGTTTCTATTACGTTCTGTTCATTGACTTGTCTACTACTCTAGACCTATAAGCTAGCCCTACTCTCCTAAATATACACCAGGTAAAAAAGGTCACAACCTAGCCTACCCCTGTTTCTATTGTCTAGGCCTATTATTCACAAGAGGTACTGTGATATTGTAACAGAGTTCTCAACTTGGTAAATCTATTTTACCATATCTCAAAATTTCAATAGTAAATGGAAATTTCCATGGCACTATTATAAGGCTTGTATTGTATGGCTACATTGTATTGTATGGCAGAGTAATATTATGTTTATATTAAATGAATATTTACCAAATTATTCTTTATGAGATCAGTAGTGGCACCAGGACCTGTCCGAAGTAGGGGCTAAAGGCCCCGACGGGGGGGCTAGTGGAGCGAATCGAGTCTCACTTGGGTGGGGGGGCCCAGGGCCCCCTGGAAGCCACGGATATTCGATAAATTATGACGAATTTTTATAACTTATTTGATAGGCATCGAGTTACTATAATATGACTTCATGTAGATTATGCTTTCTATATAATGTTAAAAACAGCTTTTAAAACCAAAACATTTTGAATGAAACAAGAAACAAAGAGTATGCAATGTAACCACCTAATTAAGTGAAATTCTTGACAAGTCCTAATGATAATGCTGACCCAGCCCCCTTCTGGCGCCACCACTGTATGAGATAACTGTTGCTGTGTTGGATCATATAGAAAATAGTTCTTTCTATTTTCTCTATGGTTGGATTGTCTTACTACAGTAGTTTGATTTGGCAAAATACTTGAAAGTTTACTTACTGATGCTATATGGTTACATATCGAAGGTTTATGGATTTATGTCATCCTTCCAACATGATTTTGTCTAGGATTATCTTAATGATAATAATAATAATTCTGGATTTATAGGCGTAATTTTTGCCCTACCTGACGTGGAAATGTACCGAATACTCAGTACATTTGAAAACAACTGCGAAAGGGTTGAATTTCCACGTCAGGTAGGGCAAAAATTACACCTATACATGTTTCTCCTGACGCAAATCCAGTTATTGTCTATTCCATCACGACAATAACAATTACTATCAACACTGCAGTACCCGCTGCTTACTTGGA